AGTAGTAGTAGTAATACCAGCTCTACTGATGTTGCAACAGCTTCTATTGTTGCCACTGCCTGCTACTACAGCCAATATTCTCGCGGTTGTTATTAATGATGACGCAGATGTTAAAATGAGTGGAGATAGTAATTGTGAAAATGATGACTATGATGGCGATGATGATGACGATGATGATGACGAAGACGTGATGATGATGATAATGATGAGGATGATAATGATGGTGACGAAGACTGCGGTCGTATTTTAATTTAGGTTTATAACGATGATGGTGAAAATGATGATGATGACGATGATGTGGTCGGATAATGAGTCATGAAGTAAATGTATTTTAAGACTCAACAGAAAAATGATCGAAATGTATTTTTGTCTTAATGAAGAATAAAAATAACACCTTGTTGTTATTATTATTGTTATATCATCATTATTATTATTTCATTATTAATTACATATTTATAATATTATTATACTAATTATGATAAATAAAACCGAAACTGACGATAATTTTAAAGTTAGTATGGAAAGATAATGATGCAAGGTATGGCAATAATAGTTAATATGACGATGATAATATGAAAAAGCGGACGACGACGATGATGAAGATGATGATGCTGCCGCTGCTGCTACTGCTGATGATAATGATGATGATGACGATGGTGATCATGATAGCGATGATGAAGGTAATGAACCTAAATGCACAATGGCATTACGTGCGCGCCTTCAATTAATACACCTTTGGGTATTGCTTTTTTTCCCGCCTATTTTTTTATGTGTTTATAATTGAGTAACGCATTAGTGGATGTGTTTCTAAATAAGCATTTATGTACGATGTGTGTGTGTTTGTGTTTGTGTGACTATGTTTGCGAGTGTCTGTGTGTTTGTGTGTGTAAGTCTTAGTATAAAAGTTAGTCTTATTCACCATTATCACCATCGTCAATAAATTTTTATATCGTCATCAATTTTTTATGCCTCATCTATCGCCATCATCATCTGTGCAGTTATCTGCATCATCATCTTTTTCATCTTTATTGTAATCATCTTCAACATCGTCATCATCATCGTCTTCTGCCACACCATCCTCATCATCATCTTCATCATCCTCATCATTTGATACAAGCTCATTAATCACGGCGACATTCAACAGTGACGATATGAGGATAATCTCCTGTTCAACACTCCCATTAAAAATCAGCAACGACATCAACTGTATCAACTACAACAGCAACAACCAATCGCAAACAAGCTTCATGAGCAACATTAATAAAAACATTCATAAATTTCTGCGAGAAAGTTCAGACGGCAGTTTCCATATCTTGTGGTGTTAATATTAATACGAGATGGCATGGTTCGAATATTGCGCGCCTAAAACTCAATGACGACCATACGCCATGCATGTATACTACGATGCTTCCATGTGCATCACAATGTGCATGTGTGTCGTGTCGTATGGATGGTAGTGCAACATTTTGGCACAAAATTCAAACTTTGTATCAAATATGTAAGCAGTTCATATATCAAAGCTACTTTATAAAGATAATATTAACTACAAAAACAACAAAAACACAACCACATTTAATATAACAACACTAATAACAACCAAAAAATAAGCAATGACCACATATTTTACGTATTTTAAAGACGTTATTAACAACAACACTGCAAAAAAATTTGGTTCTATCTAAAATAACGACAGAAAATAATGTTTTGTATAAAGTGACAGTAAGCCATACTACATACAAAATGTCTTTTTCATCTTTTTCAACGTCACAAACATCGCAATATCTTATATATGCAAACCACAAATTAGTTTGTTCTTTCTCTTTCTCTCTCTCTCTCTCTCTCACTCTTTCTCTCTCGCTCTCTTTTTCTTTTTTTTTTATCTGAAACGTTTTATTTCATGTCAATAACAACAGCATCACATCATTTATACCGCAAAACCATAACCTTTTTTTACTTACAACCATGACGACAAAAACATTATTATAACATAAACATAACATTAAAATAACATTAACATAACATTAACATAACATTAACATAACATTAACAACAAAATCATCAACGACATCAACGGCCTACGTACAAAGTAATGATATCTACAAGGAGAACATCCTCGACAATTTAAACAACCCTGTCACTCTGTAAACAACAACAATAACACATCAACAGCACATCAACAACACATCAACATTAAAAACATTAACAAACACACCAAAAACACTGCATACACAATAATGGCCCGCCATGACAGTTGAATTCTTTTTCCTACTTCCGTTGCGATAGTCCATCCACATTTTTTATTGTTATTATTATTATTATTATTATTGTTGTTGTTGTTGATATTGTTTTTGATATTGTTGTTGGTTTTGTCACTAATGAGAGAATCATTATTGTTATTATTTTTATTCATCAAATTTATTTCGTTACTATGCAAACTGTTGTAAATTTTGCTGTTGTTATTATGGCTATTTAAGTTGTTGTTATTGTTGTTATTATTATT